GAGTCTCCGTGCTACCGGTAAATTCTAAAGTTGTTGTGGTGATGCCTGTACCAATGATTGCTGTGCTTGTTGTTGTGGATACAGTACTACCAGTAAATTCTGGTGTTATTGTGGTGGTGCCTGTACCAAGTGTTGAGGTACTGGATGTTGTAGACTCCGTGCTAGCTGTTAATTCAGGTGTTATAGTAGTTGTGCCTGTAGCAATAGTTGTGGTGCTTGTTATGGTGGATAGGGTACTACCAGTAAATTCTGGTGTTATTGTGGTAGAAACTGTGCTTTCTGCGCGTTCTTGTGTGATCGTGGCTGAACCAGTGTTAAATGATGATGTGGTGATTGTTGTCGAGACTGTACTACTGATTAACAGGTTTATGGTGCCAGTGAAGCCAGTGCTAATAGAAGCTATAGTTGTTGTTACCGATGTTGTACTAGGTGTACTTTGTAGTGTGCCTGTAGTATTGTCAGCAACGGATACCGGTACAGTTGCTGATGAGATAAGGGTTTCTGTGTGTTCAGAGATATTTGTGCTTGAGCTAGAGACAAGCGATACTAATGTTGTGCTAGTGAAGGTTTCCGCTGCTGATGCAGTTTGGCTAGAAGTTACTGTATCGGTTTGCGATGGTTCCGTTAATGTGGTAATGAATGTTGTGGTTCTAGTTGCTTCTGAAGTGGTAGTATCAGTGGGACTTGCAGCCAGCTCTGTTTGTGTATAGCCTGAGGTTGCGTTTTGTGTTGGCTGTTTGGAAGTTTCGGTAGTAGCAGTTCCAAGTGATTCGAAACTTGATGTAGTTGTTGTTGTGCCACTTGTTATCGTGTCACTTATAGTCGTTGGGGTAAGTGCGCTAATGGATTCCGTATGCACAGTAGTAGATGTGGTTGTTCCTGTTATTTCAACAGATGCCGTAGTTGAACCAGTTGCTAGCGATTCTGTAAAGATGCTTGTTGACGTCGATGTTTCTGTTGATTGAACTGTTGTAGTCGTAGAAGCTGTGCCGACTGATTCTGGTATAGTTGTTGTAGGTGTTATAATTGCTGTTTGTTCAGTTATAGTCGTGGTGGAACCAGTTCCGACAGATTCTGTAAGGATACTTGTTGATGTCACTGTCACTGTTGATTGAGCTGTTATAGTCGTAAAAGCAGTTCCCAACGATGCTGTATAGATAGTTGTTGATGTCGTGGTTCCTGTTGGTTGAGTTGTTGTAGTAGTAGGACCAGTTCCCACAGATTCTGTAAAGATGCTTGTTGAAGTTGTGGTTCCTGTTTGTTCAGTGGTTGTCGTCGTAGAACCAGTTTCGAGCGATCCTGTGAAGACACCTGTTGATGTCGTTATTTCTGTAGGTGAGACTGTTGTGGTCGTAGAAGCAGTACTGACTGATTCTGCAATACTTGTAGTAGGTGTCATGATTGCTGTTTGTTCAGTTGCTGTTGTGGTGAAACCAATTCCCAACGATTCTGTAAAGATACTTGTTGACGTCGCTGTCACTGTTGGTTGGGCTGTTATAGTAGTAGAAGCAGAACCGACTAGCTCTGTAATGGTTGCTGTCGATGTTATGCTTCCAGTGTGCTCCGTTATGGTTGTGGTGGAACCACTGAGTAATTCTGTAACAGTGTTGATAGATGTTGTGGTTTCAGTCAGTTCAACTATGGTTGTGTTAGAAACTGTGCCAATTGATGATGTTATTGTAGTTGTTGATGTGATGGTTTCTGTTAGTCCGCCTTCTGTCAAAGTAGAACCAGTTCCGAGCGGTACTTTGATAGTGGTGGTTGGTATTGTAATACCTGTGAGTTCAACTGGTTCGGTAGTAGATTCAGTGCCCAATGATCCAGTCATAGTTGTGGTGAATGTTGTGATTGTTCCTGTTTGTTCTGCTGTTGATGTAGTGAAATCAGTTCCCTGTAGTTCTGTAATGGTGGTCATTGATGTTGTGACTAGTAGTGGTTCAGGTGATGCAATGGTAGATCCTACTTCGATTGTTTCTGAGCTCGTACGCGTTGATGTCGTAGTGTCTGTACTAAGCATGTCTATCATTGTCACAGTGGAAGTGACCGGAGTAGCTCCTTCAATGGTAGTGGTCGTTCTAGTTTCGGTTGATTCTGTAAGGATTGATGTTGTAATCGCTGCACTGGTCTCTCTAAAAGTGTTGATATTAGTGCCAGTAGCGAGGGATACTGTATCTGGTGTTAGTGAAGTTGTAGCACCAGATTCCTGTGCGTAGGTAGTTGTGTTCTGACTAGTGAAGGCTACAGTAATCGTCGAACTTTCATTTAGTGCAGCTGTACCTAAATATTGAGTCGTTTCGTAAGATTTCTGAATATGTGTGTCTTTTGATTGCGTACCTGTTGTCTGCTCTAATGACAATGATGATGTTCTTTCAGAAATGGTTGCTTCGCTTGTTGTTGTAGTACTGGCAGTATAATCTGACAAAGTAGAAAAAAAATTCATGAATGTGCATTTTTTTGAGTGATTTCAAAGGAATATTCACTAGCGGTGATATAGTTGGAGAATTCGACTGTAGTAGCTAGAAATCGAGATAAATGGAAAAATTTAGAAAAGGTGGAAGGTTATAGGTCTTGTCGTCAAAGAAGAATATGTTTGGATTACATACCATTTTCAGAAGACGAACGTGTCTCATTGAATGTAGGCAGAAATGATGCTATAATGACAAATATATGAAGATCAATAATGAATATAGTTTCACTTACTAGATGTTCCTGTTGTAGTATCTTCCGTAGCTTAATAAAGAGAAGAGAAACAAATAAAAAATTGTTATCTAAAGTGAGTATTATCATGTAGTTTATACATACTCTCTCCACTGCCATCTATCATAGCTTCTACACCAATTAACTGTTTATTCAAGTTCGTATCATCGAATTTCAGAAAGGTTTGAACGTCACTATCATCATCGAGTAATGTTTCTGTTGATGGTAGATCGATTTCTGTATCGTAGCTTGGGTCATTTAGTAATCGTCGACCAAGACGCCTCTGCGAATGATCAGTAATTAAGGTTACTGTCTCATTTGGTGTTTTTTGTAATGTTGTAGTTGTAATAATGCTAGTAGAGGTGGATGTTCTTTGAAGTTCAGTTTTACATGTTGTCGACGACACATCAAGCAAGTTTCTTGATGTAGAAACTCGTTTTAATGATTTGGGTCTAGCTGAGGTCGAAGATATTGTTGGAGGATTCTTTTTATTCTGGTTATCAGAAATTATTATAAATCCTTCATTAATCGGAGTAATTTCAACGCTAGTATCAATGGATTTATAATCGCGTATTTCTGCTGACAGTGCTTGTTTTTCTTTCGACCGTGTACTATTCTTTGTTGTTTGCGTCGTTGTACATTTAATGCATGCGAACACTAAAAAAAAAGCAATTTTAGAGTCTTTTTTTTCTCATCATCCTTTGATGAAAAATTTTTTTACTTGAGATGAAAGTAATGATAATTGCCAAATGTGGCAGTTTTAATCGTATTAAGGAATTATACCAGAACATGTTAGTTTTTTTTGGGTTCTTTTTCTATATATAATCATGAAAATACACGAACTAATTCCATTCAGATTTGTATATATATTCTTATATAGAAATCTAAAATAATCAAATATTTCAAATCGTTTTTTCATATTCACACAAATATGATCGAGAATATTAACAGAAAAATATTTTTTCTTTTGAACAAACAAACTTGACAAGACCTACAAACTTTACTGATGACAATTTATATTATAGCATTTTCGTGCATCCTTATTATTCTGGCACACACATATATACATACATACATATATATGGTTACTAATAACTTTTTTTTTCGTTTTTGTATGTTTTGTTAGTTAAAACAAACTAAAAAAGAATCAGCAGGCATTTCGAAAGAATAAAAATGAAAAAGAGAAAATTATAAGGATTCCAAATTACCGTCTGTTTTTGCCATTATACGTAACATACAATATCAGCTATAATTCATTCGAACTATATTTATTCATTATCAGCACATTTTATCAATAGTGAAATATTAAATCGCATATTCGTTTGAGGTTAATAGGTTAAATGAACAAAAAGAAGAATAGAATGCACTTATAAGTGAATTCTTATAATCAAAATATGTTTTTCGCGATGATAAGCCTTTTGTATTTTTTCGTCAAATAAATAGAATTAGTTCACTACATGTATTAACGGTATTTGTGTACATTTTTTTTTGCAGTGGTCACAAATCTGTAGAGATTGAATCGACGTACCTTATAATTCCAAATAATTACGCATGCCAAAAAGCAACAAGAGAAATATGGCTCTATTGAAAAAGAAAAAAAAATTACCTGTCAATGATTGTTAATTACTAACTGTAATCTCATATCGTCTCGTTTTTTCTTTCTTTCTTTTAGATCAAAGAAAAAAACGAAATACTAAATAAAATAAATGGAATATAATGATGCCCTCTCTTTACCTCTCTGCCTCTCTCTTTTACCTATAAACTTCTCATACATTTTCACCTTCATATTTTTTTTTACAATAATCTCTCAAAATTAAAGATATAATGTTACTGTTCTATATCAAAATTCTTCTTTTTTGTTGATTTTAGTACAGTTTTTCCTTTTTCTTTCATTTTCATTTGTGTAACCGAAGAAAACTGAAAATTTTCGTAATTCTTTGCTTTTGTTTACTTAAAACGAAGGTGTATTATAATATAACACGCTACTAACGATAGTTCATTAAAATGAAGTCTAAAAATGCCTAGAGCGATCAAATTATTTGTACAAAAACATTGATTTTGCTAGCGTTTCTTTTTCTTTCCTTTTTATGACTTGCTGAGCAAGCAATAGTATAATTCACTATCAAAGAAATAGGAAAGACCAAAAAAAAGGAGCTTGGTCAAACATATAGCGAATAAGAGTAAGAATACTCAAGGTTTGATTTAAATCACGCATTTTTTTTCTTGTCGAAATATTATCTAACAAACATGCTAGTGGTAATTAAAACTGGATTATTTATTTTAATCGTAGGTGTTGAAGGATATTCATTAGTTTGCTCATTGATATTTGAGCCAATAGCAACCGTTTTGTCAACAATTTATCGCGTTTAAAATTACCAAAGAGTATATAACAGAAGTAATAGCAGAATAAGTAGTAAAATCTCTCATAGAAATTTCTCATTTCATTTTTTTCAAAACACAAATCTTCATTGATTTATTAATAGACAAAATTTCGATATACGTGTCAAAAGAAAATATTAAGACTTGATATTGCCATAAAATAAGATCTTCTTATATATATTTTTTCGACTTCAGCATTAATACGGATTCATTTTGATTAAATATCGTCTGTTTTATAAAACATATTAGACGAATCACATTACTACGAAAATATTTTGCTCGAGTTTTCTTATTAATATTTGTATATATGAAAAAAAAATAAGAAAAAATAAAAATAAAAAGAAGCTGACAGTATTGGATATACTTCAACACGCACTTAGCCGTCATCAATTTCATACGAAATCAAATATCGTGCCTGCGATTTGCTGCTATTTCGTTCTGAAATATGATCTCAAAGGTGCACCATATAATAACGCTTTTAAACTTGGTTTCTTAATTGACCTTAATAATTATTTAAAATAGAGTACAGCTAATCTAATATGTAAACTCCAATATCTTAGTGCTAGACAAATTTCGTTCGTTGTATTAGAAATATTTATATGCCTCAAAGTAATATCACGATTTTACTTATTCTATTGGAATTCATCAAATTATTCCATAAATACATCACTATAATTTGAAATCATACTCATATAATTATATTATATCCTTCAAAATGCACAATATTAACGTAGTTATACTAAAGTCACAAGAAAAAGAATATCAATTTTTTTCATGTATTCTTTTAAGAATCTAATCAATATTATTTCCAATGTTCTTTTTCTTGATATTGACACACAACTTTGGTGAATTATGGGCAAAACAATAGCGATATGAGAATAGAATATAGAAAAATTGTTTTAAAATAAGTTCTATTGAGAAGACTTTCATAATTTAATCCATGAATGAAGTCAACTCAATAACATGAAAACAAAATCAATTTTTTACTCTCATGTATATTAAGTGTTCAATTGATGTTTCTAAAGTAACATTCAATGTCGTTTCTAGTTTATATTCGCAATGTAAAGAACATACTATCATATAATTAATGCATATACTCGTCACTTACACTATCCTAAACTGAAAATTTCATTTATTGACTTTCAACGACATCACTTGTTTAAGCAATTTATGATTGGTTGATTTCTTTTTCTCCTTATTAATTGGTTTCCTATGATTCAAATGAATGATATTGTTTTGTTTCCTTCCATTCATTCATACAACATTTTTTTTCGCCATTTTAATTGTTGTTACTAAATTTAAAGAGAATCTATCTAGAAATGGTTGATCGTATATACGATTTATATAATGTTCTTAATGATAAAAATGGTACAAATAATTCATCTGAAGCTCTTGAAGCATATAAAAATTTAATTGAAGCAATTAAACAAGGACCACAAGAAAAAAAATTAGCATTACAATTTATTGCAAAATTTTGTAAAAATTTTCCTGCTGAAATGGCAAAAACAATAGAAGCTGTTATTGATTTATGTGAAGATGAAGATATCACCGTATGAATTATTTAAAACTAATATGCTATATTATTTTTTCTTTGTTTTTATAATTTAGATTCGTAAATTAGCAATTAAAGAATTTCCAACATTAGTACGAGCATCAAATAATACACTTCAACGTGTTATTGGTGTACTTATACAATTACTTCAAGCAAATGATACAAGTGAAGTAACACAAGTACAAAATTCAATTATGACTATATATCATATTAATCCAAAAGGTAAATTCAATGATAAGATAAAATTAAAACAAATAGCAACGACATGATTGGGTCATTTTTAGAAAAGAGAAACTATGTTAAAGAAATGTATTGTCAATTGAATAACCAGTATATAAAGATCTAAAGGAATTTTTCATGATCGATAATCTATTGTTTTGTGTGTGTGTGTGTGTTTTTTGAGAAAGTGATTGATCAGTGAAAAATGTTCACTCGCAAGTCTCCTAACCGTACGCAGGTTTATATTGGTTTGGAGGAGGGGGAGGGGGAGGGGGCGAAATAATTCGTCTATTTTTTTGGAAAACTGTGTACAAGCTTGAGTTTCTAATAAAACTCGATAATCATCCCATCGGTTGACAGTTGTTACGAGCAACTAATTTTTTTTTACTATGCAGTAAATAGTCTCTAGCTTTGTAAAAATTCATGGACTTATCTCAAAGTTTGAGTATTACGTAAAATTCGATCGAAAATAACAAGGTTTTTTCCACAGACAAAAAATTGATAGTATGTCCATCTGATTTCGACTGCTTCGAAACTTGAATACGTTGGACAAGATCTTCCTTTGATTTTCGAAAATGGCGTTACCTGCCTTGACCTCTTTTCATCACTGTTGAAAAAAAAATCAACTTTTATTTTTTTATTTTATTTAATAGAAACAATAGGTGGAATTCTTAGTGAAATTCAACGTTCTCAAGAAGATTTACTTCGTAAACGTGCTCTTCGTATGTTTGGTTTTTCTTTTTAAACATATTGTTATTCATATAAGACATTTTTTTGCTAGGATTTTTATGTAGTCGAATAGCAACATTAGATGAAACGGATTTACCTAAAGATGTTGAAGAACATTTAGTTAAAACATGTAAAGATGTAAGTATGACTTGTTTCAATTGAGTATGTTTTTTGTTATCGTTTATAAATTTTATTTTTAGATTGCATTAGAACTTGATGCAGAAGAATTTGTTACAATTATTAAATTACTTTCAACACTTCGTTCAATGCAAACACTAGTTGCTCGACAAGAACTTGTTAATATGATTATCAATCAATGTCATTTAGAACAAGGATGGAATGTAAGAAAAAATTGATTTTCTCAATAGAAACTATTAATTATTATTGGTTTATATATATTTTTTATTTTAGGGTGTTGATACTGATCGTCTTAGTCTTGTAGCTACATTTATGGGCCATGCAATGAGTCTACTTTCTGTAAGTTAGAGTTTGTTTTCATTACAATACTCAATATCATACAGAGTGATGACATTGAAAAAAAAAACTTCCTCTTGTAATGTAATCTCGACGTTTATAACAGGTATTTTTTGAATCACCTTGTTTTACAATAGATAGAAAGCGGAGAAAAAGAAAACTCCACTGAATAGAACCGTTTTTATGTTGCATCTATTCCAGAAGAAAATAAAATTAAAATATCATTAATGAATATATCTTTAGAAGAATTTTAGTTTATTGTTGTTAAAAATAATAATTAAAATAATTTGCAAGAAAACCTGTCAGTGCAACGTCTATGAGATGAAAATATGAAACATGCCGTGCTTATTATTACTAATCATAGGGAGGTTATTTTATTCTTTCTATTTTCAGACATATTTCTTCACTAGTGCTTTACTTAAGCCTCATTCAGAAATCGACCTTAGTCTAAGAACATTCAACTTTGCCATGATGTTTTCGAAAAATATTCAACAAACAAGGGTCAAAAATGTTTTATTTGTCAACCCATAATTCTCGGTGGGTCTTCATTCTATAGATTTAGTTTTTTCTTTTGTTTGAACAAGCATGTTAGGATGCAGAATATGACAGAGTCTTTTTTGTTCTATTCGTACTTTTTAAGAGAATAAAAGGTATGAAAAGTTTATGTTTCAAAAATGGCGCTCTAATTATCAAAGTACTTTTTTATATAATAGTAATAAAGCTTAATTCACAAAAGGAACTCAATCATGCTCTGCATCTTGATATGCTCTTTCAAACAAAAGAAATCTATTGGCTACAATGAAGCTTCTTCGAGAATTTCTGGGATGTGCGATCAACAAAACATAAATAGAGGACAAACGAAAAGAGTATTATTTTCAAAAACTACTTATTTTTCAGGAAGTGATCACAGTAATCATAAAAATTTTTACCAAAAACAGAAGGTACCCAATAGAAAATCTTCGTGTTTCCGAAAGATCAGACCACGTCCTATCTTTCCTTACATTTATTTTAATATCAATCATTTTGACAAAAAAGAGTTTTTTATGTGAGGAGAAAGCCTTAATCCTTCACGAATACAATAAAGAAGTAATTCATATATCACAGTAAGATGCTATTGATATATGATCTCTGATGGAGACAGCGGACGTTGCTAAGGTGTTTGCTAGAAGAGAAAGTCCAAATTTTTACTTCTATACTTCAACACACTCCTTCTAGCTCATGTTTCACAATATTCATCTTTAAAACAAAAAATATTATTGATAAATAAATTTTTTTGTTAATTATTAATTTTAGAAAAATGTTCATTCAACAAAATTTGTTGTATTTATGCTTGATTATGTTATTGAACATATTGATAAATTACCGTTATCATCTGATGACAAACTTGATTTATTTCGTATACTTGCTGAAATGTGTCCATTTTGTACGGAATTCGATCGACCAAAAGAACGATTAGCAAAATTATTCAATGTTCTTATGGTATATGAAAAAAGAACAAACTTTTTTTTTTCTTAATTTTAATTAAGAATATAAAAAAAAAACAAACATCAAATGCTTGATTTCATTTTTAGACATTTTTACCAGAACCACCTGTTGAATCAGAAGCAAGTACAAATGATGTAACACCTGATTTTCAATTTTCATTTATTGAATGTTTAATGTATGGTTTACATCAACTATCAAGAAAATATCCTGATTTTCTTATTGCAGAAGAAAATGAAGAACGTGTCAAAGATTTTCGATTAAGGTTTACTAATTTCATTCAAAAAAAAAATCCAATTGATAATTCTTTGTTTGGTTTTTTAGATTACGTTATCTTTATCGTGGTGCTTCGTCATATACAACTCAATTGAAAAATGCATTGAATGGTAAAGTTGAAGGTGATGAACAAGATGAACAAGTTTGTTGAAATCAAAGTTCTCGTTATTTTATATATATATATATTTAATTATTTTATATTTATAGAAAAAAACACGATTAATTGCATATAAAATTTGTTCAAATGTTCAAATTATGATTCGTGATCTATGTCGTTCACCACCATCATTTAAATCGAATGTTATTCTTTCATGGAAACCAACTGTAAGTTTTTCAAAATGAAAAAAAGAAAATATTGATTTCACATTGTCTTATTGTGTTGTATAGGAAGAATTAAAACGATCACATTCAGAAAGTGATGGAGGTGCAACAACAAATAAAAATGGTGTTGGAACAAGTACTTCTACTGTTCCTGCTTCGGCTAATACAACAAATAAACGTCCTCGACCAGAAAAACAACTTTATAGACCACCAAGTGGTGGACAAACAGGTGGACAAAAAAATCGTCGTGGTGGTTACCAACGATATTAATGAAGAATTTACTATTGATAGTTGTTTTTGTTTTGTTTTTCTTGTGTTTAAAAACCAAGAAATAATATGTGTTGCGTATATCTGTGGATGTCTTAAATAAAAAAATAAAAACTAGGTTTATGTGTTTTTTTTTTCGTTCGTTGTTCTATTTCAATACAAATCTGTGTGGATCTTTTTTCTTTCGATCAAGTTATTTGTTGGTTTCTTTTGTTTGACAAATAAAAGATAAGAAAATTATGATTATTAGTTTGCTTTGTCTTGAAGATATTGTCTTTCAAATTATATATTTAGCATTATGTTCGTATTATTTTTATTCATTGCTAATAGATTATTGATGAAGTTTAGTTTTCTAACGTTAAATTATCATAGTCAAAAAAATATTTACTGATTGATTAAATGATAATTTAATATCATGCTTATAAATAGCTGAAACACTTTGATTAGAAAAAAAAACTATTAGCACAATTCATATGGGATTAAAATATTCAACACGATGCTGTTGTTGGTTGTAATCACAGGAGAATTGTTTTATTCGTTCTATTTTGGGAGACATTGCTTCGTTATCGTTTTATTTAATCCTCTTGAAATGCAATTAGGAAGTAGTTCATATATTATAACGGGACACTATTTATATACAGTCTGTGACGGTTGGTGGGCGGGGTCCAAATTTTTATTGCTATACTTCAATACTTTTTTTAGATCATGTTTCACGAAGCAACTCAATTATTATTTAATTATATTTTAGAAGATTATTTTTGTTTTGTGTGTGAGAGGAGATGTAATTTCCATTCGTATTAATTAAATTATCGAATCGGAGTTTTTTATTTCATATCGATTCTGTCACCTACAATGATACATAAGCCTTCAACTCTGAGAATCATATCATATTTCAAAATTGTATAAATATTAAACATTTTATTCAATGAAATTTCTTCAAAGATAAATAATCTTTGAAAATATTTCGATTTTTTGCAAATTTTGAAATTAATTATCATATAGTTTATCAGTTTTCCATTTATGCTAATTAGTTCAACTTCAACTAAACCTAATATGACCATGACATTTTAAGATTGATCATATACTTAACCGATTGACATGTTTTTCGAATATCTGACGATGGTTTCAACTGATTGAGTTACGATTATCGCCAATATATAGTCTACTCCAGATAGTTTATGTACCCTTATGGCATGCGTTTATTGTATCAGATTAGAAATATTAAAAATGTTGTACTTCGATTTCGTTTACAAATGATTACGTACCAAACGCAATCATGGTTAAACATTGTACTTTGTTAGTGACGTAATCAAAGGTGGGTACCGCCCTATCATCAGCAGAAAGTAAAACGTAATAACTACCATCATTGAGATTATATTTTACGAATTTTCTTCAAGATTGCAAGACATTGCACTACCACCCACGATCTCTTGACAATGTCAGGTATAGTTCGTCTTTTGTTCTTTACAATAGAGGAGGACATATTGAAAATTTTTTAAATCAATATTCACTTGCATTTTTAATCAAATCGTTATAAGTAATACAAATTTTCGGCAAAACAGAATATAATAGAAAATTTTTAATCTGTATGTCTTGACACTTTCATGAATAGTGTATAATCAATATTGAAATGAAGTGGAACTACATCTTTCTTTCTAGTATTTTTAGTTTGATCAAGTAAATACATGACATAGGAGTAGATAAACTCTGAATATGGAGCTAGACTTAAGCAAATTTCGTAACTCAATCTATTGAGACTATCTGGAGATAATAGAAAAACAAGGTCATCGATTAGGTTAAAGATTTGTTTTGATGCAAATTGATTATGACATTATTTTGAAATATGTTATTATAGAAATCATTTATTTCTAGCATTGAAGATATTCTTTTGTGTTCTCTGACAGAATTGTTCATAAGTATTTGTCTTTTCAACATTTTACAACATAGTAATTAGACAAGAAAATTGAGGAAAACTTACAATATCTAATCAATACTAATATTTTATTAAGATATTACAAAAAAAAAACGCCATTTCTTGTTTGTATTGTTCGATATTTATCACAAGTTTTATAACAAAACAATTCATAAGAGTAATTCAAGTTCATACATAGAAAAAAATAGCACTTTACTCATTTTTAACTGAAAAATCACTTTTTAACAATCGATAAAGTAAATAACAATTAATTATTGTCATTATTGCCAAGCCTGAATGTCCAATAAAGGAAAGAATTAATGGTACATTCGATCGATTCATTATTAACCATATAAACATAAATATAACAGCACCAAAACGAAACACCACAAATGTACCTGAAATAATCAATAAGTCATATAAGTCAATTAATATTCCATGATAGACAATTTTGTGTTTTTTATTTTGTTTTAATTGCATACTTAATGTTAAGAAAAGTATTGTTTTTGAAATTTATTCAACAAAGTTGCTGAGAAGCTCTTAAAAAAACTCTTTTATACATCTATAGTGACCTCCTAGCAAGAAGTTATAAGTATTTCTTTTATGTTTGAGTATGTTGTTCTATTTAGCTTCAATAGCATAAACTCAATCGAATGAATAATCTACATTGCAATTATACACATTCTAATCGGAAATAAAAAAACTTCTCATATAATGATTCAATCATACAACTTACTTAAATTTATAATATTATTAATACGATAAATTCTATCGTATTTAGATTTATTGAAAAGTAAAAATAATTGTCGTAAATGTAAAAAAATACTATTAATTTCAATAAATAAACTAATAACACAATAACCAATATAGCGACCTAGATAAAGTGAAATACCAAAACATCCAATAATCTATATATTAACAAAAATATATATATTAATTCATCTTTTTAATGGCATCAAATATTGATTTTTTTTCTTACAGTGATATGATGTAAAAGAATTTCGTATGTGTGTCGACCGGATGGATGTCGTAGATTATCAATTGAATCAAAAATAAAATAACCTAAATAATAAGATTTTATTTTAACAAAGGAAAAAACAAAATAGATAGATTTAAAAGAATAATACAAACCAAGTTCGAAGGAAATATAAGAATAAGCATTTGGCGTAAACGATGAAATTATATCCGTTGTACACATAGCAGGATTTTCAATGAAACTAAATAAAACAAAAAATAAATATTTGTGTTTTTTTTTTGTTTCAATCTAATTATTTACTAACACATAAATACTACTAATAGATGCAAGAATAGAATGAATAAATGATGTTGCTATATTAATACGTTTCCAATGATGCCGTGCATCTTTACGTGAAATAAATCTAGCTAAAATATGATGAATCGTCGAGTATGTAAATATGCCTGCAGCAGTTGCTCGCCAAAAAGCACTCCAATCGTAAAACATCTTTAAAAAGAACAGGTAGTTTTTTTGCCTTCTCTTCTTTTATATACGTTATATATTTGTCTGTTAGTCAGCAAAATTTTATTGTGTTTTTTATACAAAAAAAAAAAAAAAAAAAAAAAAAAAGAAAAAGAAAAGCTGAACAGAGATACAGTGATTGTGAGAGATAGAGAGAAAGAGACGAGCAATAATGTACAGTATGAATGATAATAATGAGAACAAACACAACAGCCACAAAAAAAAAATATTCAACCACACACAGGCGTATTTGTTTTACTCGCTTACCAGACAAAGAAAAGTATACACTAGAAACATTCAGAAAACAAAAATATATAAATCGATTTTGAAAGAAACTAAAGAAATTTATACATACAGGTAAATATATACGTGCGTATGTGTTTTTTAAATACTTTCATGTCTAAGTCCATGTATATAACTCAATTAATACAACGACAATGAGGAATTTTTTGAAAGACACATTTATACAAAATAAAATCTCTCTCATATAATTCTCAACTTCTGTCGTTATTTTATTCTATGCACGAAAAACAAAATATAAGCCAGTGTGCGCGAGAGAGATGGGCTTTTTACTTCACTGTATGCATCTGTATTTTTACAAGACAAGAAAAAAGAAGAACGTCTACCATACGGACGGAAGCAATTCGTTCGTGTATTTGTGCGTTAATCATCTTTGCTATTTTGTGAGGCAGTCGGTTTCTTTTGCTCTCCATAATAATAGCAAATAGACGATTAAAAGTATTCATAATAATTACGTTTTTAAACGCTGGATTGATTGAAAAAAAAAGCGAGAAATGAAATTGATGCATGTATGTTCATATGCACACAGGCAACGAATATTAAAAAAAAAGAATGAACAAGAATAAATGAAATTCAAAAACAAACTAGAAAGATTTCTATAAGAATATCTAAATATATATATATTAATCGCCGGGATGTTCAGGACATGATCTATTGATACGAAACCAACTGTCGATACAGCTAAACAAATGAAATAAATGTATAATTTATAGAAGAAAAGTATTAAAACTCAATAAGAAAAAAACAGTCAGATTTCAAATGTTTTTTGTTTGTCGTTTCATTTCTTTGTATTATAAATAAATAGATTATCTCATTTATTAAAATTACAAAACAATGAATTGATACTCAATTGTATCAAAGAAAATTTCATTTTTATTATGATCTATAAATTATTTATCATACCCGTTAAAGTCATTTTGACATGTGACATTCATTTGTATAAATTTTTCCTAAATAAATTATGCGTTGTAACTCAGCATGAAGCTTAAAAAAGATTTAATACGTAATACGCTTTTAATTATCATGTTTTTTTTTTTGTTCTATAGATTGACCTTCCGTATACTGACAATGCTACTTATCTATTACATTGCTTCGAATCTGGCATAGACAAACATATTATTCACTTTTATACATCAAACTATGTCTCATATTCATAAGAAAAGAAAAACAAAAGTTTCATGTATCAGTACAATATGTAATTCATTAAGATCAAATTAAACTCATATTATATTCATATATTGAATCATGTGCTTTACATTTTTCAAATTTTTAGAAATAAAACATATTCTATATGTAAAAAATATCATCAATAAGTACATCTAAAATTTAATTATAAGATGAGAATCATTGTCTGCAAGTCCTATGGATATCCTTTGAATAAAAAACAATCATATAGAAAAAATTTATTAATTCGTATGCCTAATATTCTCTGTCTTGTTTCATATTTTACCTTTTATGATAAATGCAAAGACATGGTAATCGAGCAATTTTTTGCCCTACTAATAGATCATCAAGACAAATGACACATTCACCTTTATCTTCAGTTAATGTATCTTCTAAAAGAATAGAAAATAGAATAATTAAATAAGATATGGTTTTTTTTTTCTCTATTCTAAACAAACCATTATAATCTATTCGTGGTTTCGATAAACATTGTAAAATATGTTTTTCAAATAAATCACTTGGTATTGTTTTGTTACATACAGGACAAGGAACATCACGTAATGTAATTATAAAATGTTGTAAACGTCGATGAGCTTGTGGTGAATCATCATCAGAACTTTGATCATCCGATTCATTTTCAAGTCCAACATAACGTAATAAATTTAAATTAAATGTTGTTGCACTTAATGGATCAATATTTGTTGATGTTGTTCGATGTCGATTATTACTTGTTGAATTATTACCAAATAAACCATGAGAATGATGATGACTACTATTTGAACGATGACGGTGATGTACTGTTTGTTGTTGTTGATACTGATGATTGGTACTATTTGAATGTGTACGTGTAAGATTTGAATTTGTTGATGAATTTGAAGCTGTTGGTCGATGAGCTGTTGTCGATGATGATGATGTCGATGATGGCGGAGTTGTTAAACGGCCACCCATTTATTGTGTATTTTAGTAATAAAATAAAATAAAATATCAAGAGAAAAAGAAAAGTACCCGATATCAATAGATAAATATATATATATATAGTTTTTATTAAGATAAACGAATCATATTTAATGATACATCTAAATTAAATTAAAATATTGATTATCAATAAATGAAAAAAACTTTTTTGTATTTACTATTTTAATTATCAATCGAGTGTCACATTAGATAAAGAAAAGAAAAAAAAAGATAAACAATCAACAGTAAACACCATACGTCTATGCATTACTTATTGGAATTGTAAGTGTCGACATCGCGCTTATATTTCATTGGTTTACTGGTGAAGTAGATCGAAAAAAAAAATATTAAATATGTATTAATAGATATATATATATGTGTATTTATCGTTACTCAATGAAGCTTTTAATTAATTTATGAATGTAGGGACGCACATAAGTTGATGATTGGCACACTAAAAAGAAGTATTCTAAACTTAAACATCGATTCTTTAAAGTCAAATGGCACGAAATCAATGCGTTCACGTCAACGTTATTGGATGCTTTATTACCGATTAATCATGCATTACCGAAATTATGTTTCAGCTGCTACTTTATTATGTTCATTTATAATTTTTTCCTTAATATTATATTTATCTTTTTATTATTTACATTTCCTAGTAGCTACTACATTAGCTGATTTTACTAGAATTATATATCCAGTTGATCCTAAGGCTCGAAGAATAAGAGGAGAAAGTGTTGAAGATAGAAAATTAAAATATCGTGAATTTAATTATTTGAAACCTAAAACATTAACATATGAAAAACGAACTTATTCAAATAATATTGATATATTATTTCGTTTACCGAAGAAAATTCGTCCACAATATTTATTATTAATTTTTCATGGTTGCGGTCGTTCAGCACATGATTGGTTTCATACAACTGAACGACAACGTATAGTTGGTGCTGCACTTGATCTTGGTTTTGCTTGTTTAGTATTTCAAGCAACAGATAAATTTACACATTGCTGGTCACATAATGTTGATATTAATGAAAATGTTGATGCACAAATGGTATTCAAAGGACTTGAAGGATTTTATAAAGAATATCCACAACTAGGTAAATTAAAACAGAGATGTGTTTCTTCTTTTTTTTGTTCAACGAATTTATTGTTTGTTTTGTTTTTTAGAAAATTTACCACGTTTTACATTCGGTGCATCAAGTGGTGGAATATTTTCAAGTATATTTGTTACTAATCAACGTTATCGAATTCAAGGACAAATATTATTTATATCTATTATTCTTCCTGAAATATTAGAAAAACATGTTAAAGCAAAAAGTTATCCAGCAACTGCTTGGATATATGTAAGTAAAAAAAAATAAATTGAAAAATTTCAATTAAGATTTTCTTCTTATTAACTATATAGTTTCATTTATCAATAGTAAACACTAGAAACTAGAAATATTTCAAAGTAAAATAGATAAGATATTTTTTTAAAATTTTGATTCTTGATATGCTCGGTGATTTATAGCAATCTCATTATTGAAAAAAAACTACGTGAAAATTTTTTATTTTATGTTTTATCTAATTTTTTTTTATCCTTATCTCATAGATGTTACGTGATGTTGAATTTGCTTCGGAAGAACGTATAAATGCATCAATGCGAATTTTTGCTCGAGAAAAAATTCCTCATGCCAGTTTTGATATTGAACCAATTGCTTTAACACGAACAATATTTCATGAACGTATTCGAACAATAAAAAAAGAAACAGCACGTTATATTTTCTATCGTTTCGAACAAAACGGTTGGTTAGGTACATATAATTATTTAAGATATAATCCACGTCGTAAAACGACATGGCAAGAATTCTTATTTACACCAAATAATAGTTCAATGGAAACAAAAGAGATTCTTCAAAATATTCAAGAAAATAAACATTATTTTCCAGATTTTTTAAATACAGTATATGGCGAACACGAAATAAGTTATGAACGATCATATGAAGCATTAAAATGGCATAAAAAGATTTATCACACTAGAGGCAAACATTGAATGTGATATGCATGTTTATCTTAATATAGTATACTACCTTTTGTTTTTCTGTGATAGAGTTTTTTTTTTTCGTTTTTTATTTCTTTTATTATTATTATTATTATTATTATTATCTTTTCTTTAAACAATTGAATATTATTTGTTCAAAACAAAAAAAAAGAAGTGTAGTAGCAATAGTTGTTAAGAAAAATCAATTTGTTTTTATTTCTCATATGTGATAAATATATAGATTATTTTTTATTGATCAACGTGCCGATGGCGAATAAAAAATCTAGCTCTCCAACGAAAAAACTCGTTGGTGCTATTGATCAAGGAACATCATCATCTCGATTTCTTGTATGTTCTTTAAAGATATAAATACAATAATAACAATGGTTTTCTTTTTCTATTCTAAAAGATTTTCAATGCAGCAAATCTTGAATTAATAACATATCATCAAGAACCTATTGAAATTTTAACACCAAAGCCTGGTTGGGTTGAACAAGATCCAAATGAAATACTTGAAAAAACAATTCTTTGCATGGAAAAAGCTATTGAACAATTAGGAGAATTAGGTTATGATAAATCAGATATTCAAGGTAGAAAAACAAACAACAAAATAGAAAACTATGGTTCTATTGTGTTTTTTTTTAGTTATTGGTGTAACAAATCAACGTGAAACAACAATTTTATGGGATAAAGAAACTGGAAAAGTATTGCATAATGCTATTGTGTGGTTGGATGCACGTACACAAGAAACGGTTGATTTTCTTTTAAGACAATTTAATACACATAGAGATTGTTTACAAGTTTGTTCAATTGAATTTTGTCTGTTGAATTAGTACAGAATCCTTGAGTTTGACTTTTTTTTTCAAGGAACAATGCGGTTTACCATTATCAACTTATTTTTCAGCATTGAAAATTCGATGGTTAATTGATAATAATCATCATATTAGAAAAGCAATTAAAGAAAAACGATGTTTATTCGGAACTGTTGATAGTTGGTTACTTTATGTAATGAAGAAAAAAAAAGTTTTTTTTCTATCATTTTATATTATGTTTACTTGTGTTTTAATTAGAATTTACTTTCCAATGATAATAATACTGTGCATGTAACCGATGTAACAAATGCTAGCCGTAAGGATAGTAGAATTTATTTTACTATAAAAAGAATCTATCGGTAGTTATATAACGAGTGATGCTTAAGCAACGGGAGAAAGCGTTTCCATTTTTTTTAGAGGGCACTTCCCAACATATTACAATTTTTGTTTCAGGCTTATTCGATAGAGAATTTCCTGTTCTACAAAACTATGGTCTTTGTCTTTCAAATAACTTCCTGTTTTTTTTGTCGACGTAAAATTTTAAAGATGAACACCTACTCAATTGTCTGACTGCAATTTCCGATTTTTTGCAGTCATCTATTGATTTATGTCAAGACGAATTCTAAAAGTAAAGTATTTGGCATCGATAGGTATAGAATTTCATGCTCTTTGCTTCCATGACCTATCAAAGGTTTCTATAATTATTGTTTAGAAGAAAAAGTATAGAATCAACATCAAGTGGTATTTTGAGACGTACTCTAAAAAAATCATGTTTTTTCAAAGCGAGACCTGCTCTATGGCACGTTTATTCTCATGTTGCTGAGTGTAGAATTTAATTCTCAACAAAATAATATAATGATTAGATCAAAGAATAGGAATGTTAGATTATGTCGACTTAAAATAGCACGTTGTTGTCACTGTGCTAGAAAAAGCTCAATTCACATTTTTTACTCCGAAGTTTTTTTTACCATATAGTTCTGTTAAATTCTTAAGATATACATCAAAAGATACAGAATTTTGTCGTATATTTAAAATTTAAACAAAATCTTTATGAAAATATTTTCGGTTTTTGACCGTTACACGCACAAAAAAAGTTATTCGAAAAAATAAACAAAGACAATATTTTTAAAAAGCACCAAATCATCTATCGAACGAATTTCAAACAAAGCTTCTACTGTGTTAATGAGCATTTTAATAAGAGAAAAATATTTTGTTCCATTTGTTATCCACTATTCGTTAATTATACTGTAAATAGAAATTTCTTGTGTACGGATGTTCCGAGCGGGTGGTCTCCTAATATAGAAAAATTTTCATTTTACTCCACTGGAGTTCTAACTCTCAAACCTCACGAGTATCTTCCAGTTGACTTTCTAAATCATCGTCAACTCCGATCATAGCAACCTTGGAATAGCTCTAAATTTTTATACTTCATAATGTTTACTTGAATCAATATATTCATAAATAACTTTTATACTTTTAATATCTTCTGGATCTTATGAGAAAAAATAAATCAAAGTTCTTTGATTTATCTTTAGGAACAATGTTAATGAATATTCGCGATCTTAAATGGGATTCTCAACTTTGCGAGTATGAAAAATCATTTAATACTTTAAATAAAACTTATTGTGATTATTAATAGGTTCTTCAGTATTCCTGAACACATTTTGCCTGAGATCAAACCATCTGCAACAATATTTGGTCATATTAACAAAGGTATACTTCAAGGAGTTCCTGTTGGAGCAGTAAGAAATATAAATGAGACATTATTATTATCGTTATTATGTTTTTCTTTCTTATTGATTTCTAGGTACTTGGTGATCAACAAGCTGCATTAGTTGGACAACAATGCTTGACTAAAGGAACAGCAAAGAGCACGTATGAATGATTATCTGTATTTTTTTTTATAAGTTTAATAAAGCTTTTTTTTTTCTTTATATTTAGATATGGTATACGATGATAATGAATAACATTGTTCATATTGACTTTTCTAATCAAATAGGAACTGGCTGTTTTATTTTATATAATACAGGAGAAGATTTAGCTTATTCTCGAAATGGTCTTTTAACAACAGTTGCATATAAATGGAATGATGATGATGCTGTCTATGCCCTGGAAGTGCGTAAATAAAAGCTTGTGTGTGTGTGTGTGTTTGTGTGTGATTAAAAGAAAGATAAAAATCTATTATATATATATGACTATAATTCCGTTAATTAGGGTTCTATTGCTATTGCCGGTGAATGTATTAAATGGTTGCGTGACAATCTTGGATTGATTCCAGATTCGAAAAGCACCGGTTTGTTTGATAATAAACTACAAATTAATAATTTGTTGCTTGTTGGTTTTCATTTTATATATTAGAAACAATAGCAGCTTCTGTAAAAGATACTAGTGGTGTTTATTTTGTTCCTGCATTTTCAGGTTTATTTGCACCTTATTGGAGATCCGATGCTCGAGGTAAATTTTTCATAACATAAAATAGTTTAAATAGAAAAAAACCGATATATCTAAGGTTTGATTATGGGTATGACTCAATATACAACAAAAGCACATATTGTTCGAGCAGCTCTTGAAGGTATTTGTTATCAAACACGTGAGGTAATTGTGTTAATATTCTTTTGTTTTTAAATTCTGCTGTTTTTCTTATAAACAATTAGATTATTGATGCGATGTATGATGATAGTGGTGTACGACTTTCAAAATTAAAAGTCGATGGAGGAATGGCAAATAATAAATTATTTCTTCAAATGCTTGCCGATATTGTTGGTATAAATGTATCCACACCTGGTTTATTTGAAACAACAGCATTAGGTGCTGCACTTGCTGCTGGAAAAGCAAACGGAATTGATTTATTCAAATTAGAAGACGAAAATGAAATCGAAACGGAAATGAGTTCATATATACCAAGAATACAAGGAAAACGTAAAGAAAAACCTTTTTCCGTACTTTTATTTGTTTTTCTGTGGATATATTTAATAGAACGTGAAGAAAATTTCTCTGCATGGAAAAAAGCTGTAATAAAAAGTTTTGAAAGTTTCACATCTCCATTTAGTATTGAACATAAAAGTAAGAAACGATAATTTTTTATTGTAAATTTCTAATCTATATTCAAGGTATGCAAGAACAAGAAACTCATTTGTCATCAAGAAGTGTTGCGTGGATAGCATTGACAAGTGTCTTTGGTATTCTATTGTATATGGCTTCTCATAATGATCAATCACCTTTTTAAGTTTTTTTTCTTTGTGTCTTTGCGTAATAAAACTTTTCATATTATTCATTTCATGCTTATATCTACTTTTATGGTACTACTTTGTGATTTTCATTACGTTGAATAGTATATTTATTTTATTCTCTTTTTGGTGTATTGTGAACAAAAACAGATTTTTTTCAATTGATAGAGAAAATAAATAAAAGTTCCGATACAAATAAAAAAAGAAACGTAAAGAAAAAATGTAAAGTCATCTATCATTTTTTTAATAATTCTGTGTAGCCGATTCTATAAAAGTTTAGCTGGTATTCAATATTATATTATTTATTTTTAGCTTCATAGAATGAATATCTTTGATGTTTGTTAATTATAAGAAGGTCTACATCTTATTTTTAGTGTGAGAGATTCACATATGAATTCTTTCTTGTCTTATACTTCTATTTTTATTTCAACACTAGTTTACAGGCATTGAAATGATTTTTTTCTATGAATAAAAAATCCAGGAAATTTAATCAATTTTATTACAAGGTATCTTTATCCATTATGTTTATATGTCAATCAAACGAAGCAGATTGATTTTTTTTTCATTTATTTTTTCATCAAAATATGATCTCGTTGACGACACATTAGTTCCTTTATTAATGCATTTACTCGATGACGGACCTCTTAGAAAAAGAGGAGAAAGATAAAGAGAGAGAGAGAGTGGGCTTTATTTTGTCTTTTTCTTTATTACGTCGGTACTCGATCATGCCGTCCTTTATTGTTGATGGAAGCAGAGCAAGATCTGTTGTATGACTATGCTTTGGTTACTACACTCTACTTGCTCTTTGATCGTAATGTTCAATGAAGAAAAATGAGAGGAGGAGAGAGAGAGAGAGAGAGAGAGAAGGAAAGAAATTATTATCGATAAAGAGAAAAGGCGAAGAGACTATCAGCAAAAAAAACAAGAGATTTTTTTATTTTCTAGTTAGGTAGTAAAACGAGAAAGAGGCGTGGTAATAATAGTAATGTATCATTTTTTTTGTTATAAGAGAAAACAAAGAAAAATTAAATCATACCAGTAGGTATATTTATGTTCTATGAGACAGATTTAGAAAATGAATATGAATAATAAATATCGTAGGTTGAATTTTTTTTATTATTAATCTATTTATTTTGGTCATAAGCGACGTTTCTCTCTCTCTCTCTCTATCTTTTTTCCTACATCTGATTTAATTTTTTGTTTATCTCCTTAGTGCTCATTACTCTAGGGACTTACTATTTGAGTAAGTTGACTTACATTATGCTCATTCACACATGAAGATCGAAAATCATTGCATGCACGCATGCATCGTTTCTCAATTCGTTTTAATGAGCTTAGACAATTTTGATAAGTATGAATATCATGCCATCACTGAGTGATAGAACATAATTCTATTGTTAAGATTCTCTAGCAAATACTTTACGATAACCCATAATATCTTTTTTGATTAATATTTTCTTATTCTTTTTTTATATCAATGTGATTAGTGTAAGAGTAATTGAAATGTTTTTTTTTTTTGATAACTACTTGAAAAGATTGAGAGAAAATTTTTCTATTTTTAAATAGTTTCAGATTAGTTGAATACAATATTCAATTTGAATATTTTTTTTTAGAAGCATATCATTTTAATTAGAAGGATAACAAATTATAAGCATGTCAGCAATAAGTTTTTAAAGCAACAAAAACAAGCACATTATTAATAGGAATATAATTTGTATGCTATTGTCAAGTAGATTATGTTTGAAATGTAGGTCTATTATATTTTATTTTGGCATATATATTGAATGCATAAATCTAAATGATGCTCAATCACGACATAGAAAACATATATACACACGCACGCACATATAAGAAAAGCAAGTTAAGCGCGTGTCACGAAACTATAAAGCCGGGAGGGAGTCTCCGGATGCTGTTCCATCATCGTCATTATTCGTGTGTCAGCACTTCCTAATAGGCGTCGTGCGCTTTCTCTTCGATATCTAGAAGGGAAAAAAAAGAAAAAGCCTTAGGGTTTTGCTTAGTTTTCATTTGATAGACGTTGATGAATGATTGATTCATTTTCAGATTATCAAATTCCACCATTGAATACGAAAAATGCTCGGTGGGATCTTCAAATTAACACTGTCCATGTGTGCTTTATTCTTATTCATCAATCTTCTTTGGCAAACTTCAATTGCTGATGCTTTACCGGTAAATATTCTTATATTAAATAAATATTAGAATTTTAATATTATCTAAGTTAGACTTATATTCATTGTAAAACTATGATTGATCATTCAAATAAAATCTATTTGTCAGTGATTCTTCAAAGTCTTGTACCAAAATAAAAGCACAATCATTATATAATAAATTTTTCAGTTTTATTTAGTATGAAATTTTATCTTTCTATTCAAACATGTCATAATTGAAAAGGTCTTCTATTTGTTCTCATGAATCTGACACATGCATATTGACATAAAATGACACTGTTTTATTTTTTTTTCAAATAAATAATGAAAAAAAACAAGTATAATCTGTCGTGTTTGGTCAGTTATTTGAAAAATCTGAGAGATTTATTACACTTTATATATGCATAAAATGCACAAAGATTATTGTTGAGATTGAATATTTATGACTTTCTACACTAATATTTTCATGCATGAAAAATTCTAGAATCAAGCATAGCTTGCGTATATTAAGGGTAAATAAGTAGCGTCAATAATAAGTTTTTAAACAACATTTTATTTTGATACTTAATTATTTTTGACATGCTTGAAAACAAACAAGTCTATCGCTATATAAATTGTATGTTGTATAATAAGCATAGTTATTAATATTAAGAAAATAATAGCGAAACTTAGAACCATTCTATTGTTATCTCTTATGTAAAATCATATTTTTTATTGTTTTTTTTTGCTATATAGACCTTTGCAGCCGACGATAATGTGGTCAAATCAATTGATGATGTGTCGCGTTCGTTTCCGATTAATAGTCATACGGGTGTGTTTATAGTTAAATATTCATTTTCTTTTAATAGTCGATCAGAATCTGTTGATCGATCATAGCATCATTTTGCAAAAGAAAAACTTGATTACGTTTTGTTTTATTTCTAATCAATAGGTACATACAGTAAAAAACTTCGAGTGGCTAAACGAATCAAAGCTGCATTAGACAACCGTCTCAAACGTTTTCGTATGCTTGATCAAGATGAATTTCAAGAAATGCTCAAATCCTTAAGTCAACAATCACCAGAAGAGCAATCAAAAGCATCGAATGGAATTGATAATACTATCGGCGGTATGCAACTTGCAAGTAAGTTTTATTTAATAGATTTTATTATATTTTCATTCTTTGATGTTTTTTTTTCTTCTTCTTTTTTTTTTAGACTATTGGTCGTCTAAATAAAAAAAAGACAACAATATTAAAATATGGTACATACTCTCTCTTTCGATGTTTATCTGTTCATATCTATCCCAGATTTATTAAGAAAGAATGTTTGTTCCATGATTCAATTGACTTGTCTTTTATTTTATTGTACCATATATTATTAGCGTATAAGAAAGAGAGAACGAGATCATAAGAAAAAATATTACAAAGTAGTTTTTCTCTTTTCACTCATTGTCATAAATAAAATTTCCCATACAGAAACACACATATACATATATATGCGTCAAAGATCCTGAATTCTATATGCTTTAAAGAATTTTTTATTTAACGTAATTTTTCGAGATGCAATTGCTAAATTGATGAGAATAATGAATCAAGAAAGATAGTTGCTGATATTATTACTGTAATTGAAAACCATTCATTGAATCATCTTGTTGAAAAATCAATCATGATTGATGTTTCCATGCTATTCAATATACAAACAACTGTTAATGTTCATGAAATGCCGAATACTTCATGAAACTTCTTTAGCAAGTTCTACTTAAAAGAGTTATAGTTTAAGTCAAACGTTATTAGGTCAACAAGGCTATAATTATTTATTCTCAATATATAATGATATTGTTTTTTAAGAGTTGTTTTTAAAATATGTTTTGTCTAAGTCAGATACTATCATTATTCACAAGTCTATAATTGAAAACGATAAAGTATTTGACAAAATAACATGTCTATAACAAAAAAAAAAACACTTAACATTACTTTCGAAAATGATCTGTTGCAAGAAATAGTATTTATGACTTGAAATATTTTTGTATGTTAATCGAAACATTATTCTGATTAAAGCACATATCAAGAATTAAAAAGGTTTTCTTCTATCACTAGAATATTTCTTTAGTATTGGCATTCAATTCAAATGACATCAAAAAACAAGTTATCTCATGGGAAATACGAAATATTATCTGCTTGACGAATTCTGTCTATTTTCTGTTATACATTGATGTTATTTTCTTCGCATCAATACAGATGACATTTCCTGCGGCGATTAAAATAGGTCAATAAATAACGATCACATATATTCACGAATGTTAGTTTGAAAACTGAATATTTTAGAAAATGAAAACTTATAATAACGATAAACTATCTGATATTCAACTTTTTCTTTTCCTAATGCATCTTTATACAAAATTAATTTCCTTTCTTTTCTCCTCTTTTTTTTTTTTGTTCTTAAGATTCTATCATTGATCTCAATAGCATAACAAGCAAATCGTCTTGATGATAAATTTCCGTTTCTAAATATCAATACAATCAGATATTTATAGACAAAAAGGAATACTTTATAAAAAAGAAAAAAAAAAAGAAAAGGATAGCTGATTAAAATGAGAACATCAATCTGAGTTAAAATGAGTACATCAATCTGAGTTAAAATTAACCATCGAGTTTTTTATATAACTTTATAAAAAAGTCTTTATATTTTTTTTCTACGGCAAATCGTCGTGATTTAAATGTCGGTGTTAAAAGTCCATTTTCAATTGTAAATGGTTCTTTAATAAATTCAATAGCTTTAACTTGTTCATATGACATTAAACCACGTTTTTTTCCTTCTCGTAGCATATCATTAAGTACGATTTGTTTTAATTTTTCTTCAGTATTACATCGAGTATTATCATCTTTTGCACTCCATTTTTTAACATAATCTTCATTTAATACGACAACAGCAACAGGAAAATTTTTATATGAATCACCATAAACAAATAGTTGAGATACAAATTGACTACGTGAATATGCATCTTCAATTTTTTCCGGTGCGATGTATTCGCCCTGACTTAGCTAAAAATAGAAAAAGAATCTTACGTTAGATCTTTGCTGGTTTTTTTTTTTTTATATAGAATTCTACCCACAATCATAGGACTATGTGTTTGAGTGATATTGTATGCTCACTCTTAATCAATCTAGACTTTTGAGACGAGATTTTTTTTTTTTAAATTCGTTGGTTTTTACTTGCGTAAACAAACTGATTGGGCCATTATCATATTTTTGTTATTTGTGTAAAATTACAAGAAAACTTCCTTAGAGGTCTCCTTTCGATGTCAACAATATTTTGTCTAGAGATACTACATAATGTACTAATAAAAATCCTAAAAAGAATTTCGGTGCCTATTGAGATTTGTAACAAGTCTATTTTGTAGAGACCACAGGTCCTTGGAAAACTCGTATTTTCAAATTTTGGTTCTGAAAATTTGTGCATATAGTGAATTCAACTACACTAGTTGTTTTAAAACATTTCAGAAGTTTCGAGAAAATTATCTTTAAGATATAAAAGCTTTCAGAAAATACATGTTGTATACACAATTCATGGAAAAAAGTCTATATCATGAAAGTCTCATATTTCGACAAGACTTTGTTTTTAAATTTCTGAATTTTTCTAGATGAATTTTCTATAGGAAGTGGCTATGTGCACTCAAGTAGGTATTATCAACTAGTTACTAAATATTGAGATATATTATAGCCATATATGTACTGCATAATTAACATGAGTAAAATCTATTAATAATTTTACTCTATTTATTTGTTGTTAAATTCAAATAGAGTATAAAACAAGTATTAATATCAAACAAATATAAAAGAAAAAGTTAATTCAAATAAAAATCAACTCATTTAGAAATATTTCTAGCGCTTTATCTCTTAGATTTTGTACGAAATGGTTGCATTTTATTATTTTCAATACATCGGACGGAAACTATATCGATGCCAGTGTGTTTCTTCTCTATTAATTGTGCCTTCTTTCTCTATTGATAATTTATAGAACGAAAGATTCTACGTTTTCTTGATTAATTAGCTTACAAAATGGGAAATTGAAAAACATAAAATTTCAATTAGCTTTTAATCTGGAACGAGATATCCTTTTTTTAACACCCATTAATTAATTCTCACTAAAGAATAAGAATTAAAACAAGATTATAAACTGAGATTCTTTCAAGATGAGAAAAAATAGCTGCCAAAATTAGAGATACAATCAGAAAAGAACGTAAAAGAAAATTTTATCATTATTGTTTTATAAAAAGATATTTTTATATGATTAATGTTAGTTATATTGAAAATAATGAAAATATAACTATTTCCTTGAAAAATTTAAGAGAGTATATGCTAGAAATATTTGTAAATCAGTCGATTTTTACTTGAATTAACTTTCTCTTTTATATTATTTTGATTGTAATACTTGCTTTGTATTTTATTTGAATTTAATAAAGACTAAATAGAGCAAAATTGTTAATCAATTGATAAATTTTAATTATAATAATTATAAAGAACATATATGGCTATAATATAACTCAATATTTAGTAATTTTTTGATAATACCTACCTGAGTCCACATAGCCACTTCCTTTTCTATATGCACAAAGCTTCAGATCAAAATTCAAAACTACGAGTTTTCCGAGAACTTGGGGTTTCTAGAAAATAGACATATTCAAAATTCGATAGCTTAGTTAAAATTTCAGTAGGAACCTAAATCATTTTTGGGTTTGTATTAGAGCATTATAGGTTAACAAAATCATTGAAATCGAGCGAATGCACTTCAGAAAATTCTCTCATAAGTTCAATATTTTGGCTAGAAAATTTGAACTAAAGGCGCAGCTGACTTTCGGACAACAAATTCAACTAGACGACAGTTTATACGATACGTCGGATTTTCACTAGCTTTATGCATTATTTAGAAAGCGGCATCGGAGTCATTTTTTAGGAGTCATTGGAGTTCTCAAAGTTATTTACCAGTGAATCAGGCGAAACATTACGGGTTTCTTCCGAATGTTAAGTTTTATTCGTTGATGGTCACTTTAGAAACTGGTGTTTTTTTAATAGACTAGATTCATGTCTACTCGAAGTTTTACAAAGATGAAGAAAAATTTGAGCCAAGGTGAACTCGGATTTGTTTTCATGGACGTAAACCTCAAAGATACATCAATTGAATTTCAAAAACATACCAGTTTCTGCAGTGTATCCCCAAGTATAATAACTATAGAGAAATATATGATGTCAAAATCTATATTACATGTTTGCACGAAAAAAAACACAGCAAACAACTAAAAACTTATGTATATTTTTCTGCAATGAAATGATGTACAAAATTAGCAAACATCTCCATTTTGTCGCAAAAAATATCGTCTATTTGAATTTGTTATGCAAAAATCAGCTTTGCCTATATGTCAAAACTTGTAGGAATGAAAATTTCAGTAGAAGCCTCCAACTATCTGTATGACTTTCAAACAAAATGAACATTTTTCTAATCCACCAATAACGAAAATATGATAGTGTTCTTTTATTTTTTTTGGTCAAACAAACATCGGCGTATTTTAACAAATACCTATTCCTTTCAGTTTGACAATAGTGTCAAAGAAATCAAATTCTATGTTTGAATAAAGCATATTCGCTCAAAAATGAGCAGTGTGAGTAAACTGTTTATCAAAAACTCACACTGGATCGATGTTCACTGATTTACCTAACATATTCATACAGTATGAACATATCAATGCTTCAATGAACATCGATTCAGTGTACTCCATAGACTCACTATTGGTAAATCACTGTAAGTGTTTTCGGTAAAAACTGTCAAACTTAAACATGTAGTTCTATAATTTTGACCAAAATTGTATTAGAAAAAAAAGCTACAAACCTTATACATATTTTTTTTTCGATCAATAATTGTCATTGTTTTATGTCGTGTCCATCTTCCAACATCACCTGTATGTAACCAACCTTGATCATCAATAACTTCACGTGTTTTAGCTTCATCTTTTAAATAGCCACTAAATACAGCTTTACTTCTTATACATATTTCTCCAACACCATTTTCAGCATAATAATCTTTTTCTGGTACATCAACTAATTTAATATGATTAAATATAGTTGGAATACCTGTTTCACCTGATTCCATATCATGTAATGTTTGCCAACAACCAATAACACATTCTGTTTGTCCATATGCTTCAATAAGAAAACAAGAAAATGCTGCACGAGCAAATTGACAAACTTCAGCTGAAAGTGGTGCACTTGATGAAACAACACGTCGAATTTGTCCACCAAATTGTCGACGAATTTTATCAAATAAAATTTTATCCCATATTGTATTTTGTGAAAAATCTCCACGTCTTATTAATGCTAATTTATTATAAATAGCTAAACGAAATAAAATTCGACCAAGTAAACCTTTTTTAAGAATTTCTGATCGAACTTTATCATATAATCTATTGAGTAAACGTGGCACGATTGAAAGTAATGTTGGACGAAAATCACGAAAATCATCTAATAATTTATCAACTTTACCTTGCCAAAATCCAACTTCTCCACCTATATAAAAATAAAATCTATTTAAAAAAAATTTTTCTTGATATATTAAACAAATCTTACCTAAATAAGTTATTGCAACAACTGTTCCACAACCAAACATATGTGCCATTGGTAAAAAATTTAATGCACGAGGAACTTCATTGATTGCTAATGATTCTAAATCGATAGCTGCAGCACAACCAAACATTGCAGTAATAAAATTTTCATGTGTAATTATACAACCTATCAAGTTTTTAAATATTTAATTTAATGTAAGAGATTTTTTTTTTTTTATTATTTCTAATACCTTTTGGTTCTCCTGTACTTCCACTTGTATACATAATTAGAGCAGTATCATTGACATTTGGTGGTACAAAATCAATTAAATTATTTCGACCTATTTCTCTTAATTTATCATATGTTAAAAGTTTAAGATTTTTTTCTTCGGCTGCTTTCAATAATTCTGATGTTGGTTCAATAAATGTAATTATTATTTTTAATGCTAATGTATCATCTTTCCATTCAATTAAATTATGTACACGTGTTAATTCATCAGCAAATATTAATTTAACTTCAGCATGTCTTATTATATATCGAACACCGTCTTGACCAAGTGAATCATATATACCAATGGGTACTAATGAAAATGGCCAACAGGAATATAAAGTTAATGCATAATTAACTGAAGCTGAACCATATATACCAATGAATGTTTTATTTGATATTTTAAGACCAAGACTAGCTATGCCACTACCAGTTTCTTGCATTATTTGAAGCACATCTCTGTAAAACAAAAAAAAAAACAATATTTCTATTTATTTATCTATTTAAAATAGGACATAAATAAGGAAAGATTTGTCGTTATTTTCAAATATAACACTATTTTAATTAGAGAAAGATGGAGAATTAAAAATTCTACTAAATAATGTTATTGGTATTTGGGTGAGCATGTTTTGGTCGTATCAGACTGATGATAACTCTAATTCACTAATTGTTACCTAATACCGAGCATAGCGAGAGCATTTTTATTACTTGTTGTTATCATTGATTATCTATTATTGATCAATACCTAGAATGCAGTTTGCATCATTTTGATAAACAATAATATGTGGGACTAAATGTTTTCTGTTTCAATGTAGATTTAGAAAAGAACTTCTCAGAATATATACGTTTCATATCTAATTAACAAGTTCTCCATTACTCATTCTTTGATTTATTTAGTTGACCATTGGGACTTTTTGAGTCATGTTTTTTTAAATAATGCTCTAATTGATATGATTTATAGAATTATTTGCTTAAAAACATAGAATTTTTAACTATAATGTATAGTTCGGGTTAGGAAAATGTTTTCTCGTAATTGTAGCCTCGATTTCAACACCTTATTTTATCCATGTTCTCGGTTCGTGCATCTCTTGTTGTACGAAATGAGTTAATATATATATAACCTCTGTTGCAAAAGTCTTTGCACAAAATGTTCGTTCACTATTTGACCACTTGAAAACAACTAGTAAAGACCAAAAGTAGTTAGTTGGAATCAGAATTTTGTGCTCTATCAGAATATATACTTGGAATTTTTTTCTAACCTAAGGTTGATTCACTCTGAGCAAATACTTGAATTAGCCGAAAATTTAGTTTGTACAGAATCCTATTTCTGGCAATTTTGTATTTTGGTTAAAGCTTAGTTAATTGAACAAATGAAACGTCTGTTCATATGGCAGTTTGTAGAGAAAAATTTTCTGTGCAAAACCCATATCCACTCATCTTTTTATAAATCGTCAAATTGGCTCGAAATCGGCTACATTCGAACAGGTGGATTTCCAAAAATCGATTTTTTGACAAAAACTGTTTTACGTTGAAAGTAGCACCTAGGAAAACATCTGTAACTTTTGATAGTTTTTAGTTCTATTCTATTATAATACCCAGTTTTGTACAGAATTGAATGCTCTACAAAAACGCCTAATTAAAACCGCGCTTAAGTATAGTCTGGAAAAGTAGCGGATTGCAAAAAAAAACGTATTTTGCTTTGTACGGATAATTATTTCGGTCCCTTCAAACATTTGCTTGCAGTGAACCATCCTTAAGTTAGAAAAAAATTCGAAGTATATATTCTGATAGAGCACAAAACTCTGATTCCAACTAACTACTTTTGGTCTTCACTAGTTGTTTTCAAGTGGTCAAAAAGTGAACGAATATTTTGTGCAAAGACTTTTGCAACAGAGGTTATATTATAGTGTAATACTTTTCAAGGACATTCAATGTAAATAAAATTTTAAAGATTTTTCTTACTTATACGTATAAGATTGAAATGGTTCATCGGATGATTTTCTATATGAAAATTGTGGTCGATTACCACCTGCTTGTAAACCATGTTGAATAACATCATATAATGTTTGTACACCAATTGAACTAAAATCTTTTAATTTATCAGTACAATCTGGATGAGCATAAATATGTTCTACTGGATCAATTTCAACAGCGCCTTTGCGTTTAACTGGTTTTTTAAAAATAATTTTTAAAATTTTTGTATAAGAATTGATTAACAAACTAATGAATATAACCAAACCGCTTATAATAGCTGTAACTATGCATGACGCCATACGTACTATTATAAACAAAGAACAATAGTTAATACACATACATATATAAAATTATGTATATTTATAAAAATTTAAATGTTTTACAGGTCACCTGATAATAATTAACACTTGGGACACTTCTATGTTCTCAAATCTTGTTATTACTATTGTTAGAATAAATAGGAAAAGTACTTTTTCATATATGCTAAAGTACATTAGATAAATAACGAATTTAAAAGGTAAGTGATGCATTTTTCTTTTTCCCTCTGTTACCTACGTGCTATTCGATGTCATCTGCTTAATTTTCTTCTTTTACAAAAGACGCACTACAACTGATTATTTATATTAGTAATAGACTTACAACACAATATTTTATCATATACAGATTTATATTAAACATTAAATAAAACATAGATTCTTACATTCTTGTTTCCTTTTTCAATATTATAATAATATCTAAAAAAAAAAGTGTTTTCTCTTCTTTTAATTTGTAAAATTTAGAGAAAAAAAGTGAAAAGCAAACTATAAGTACAACTCTTTCCTTGTCAACAGCATGACTCATTTCTTCGCGTAAGAATATTTGTAGACTTCTATCACTTATCCAATATTTGCTAATGTAATAGAAGTAAAAAAAGAAAGCGGAAAAAACTCTTCTTTTAAAATTGCTACGTCATATATTTCAAATAATTCGTTGTACTCTTATGCAATGAAAAAAGGTTATTTTAAATAATAAAAAAAGAAGAAATGAATAATGTGAATCATAACGACGACGTGTCACCATGGAATTGATTAGTATAACAAAAAAGAAAAAAAAAAACATATTTGTTCGGAACTGATTATTGTTCAATATCTTTAAAGAAACTTAATTATAGAAATGAAAAAACTTAATAGATATTCTTTCATTGTCATTGTTAACTATTGGTCCAAGGAAACAATGTTAGAACTAGAAGAATAACAAAAAGAAAAAGAAAGAAAGAATTACTAAGAAAGTCAATGTATGCGTGACAATACTGATTACTATGGTATTTCTTTTTTTTTTTTTTTCTAATGATAGAAGCACAACTGAACAAAATACTCATGAGATATATTCAAATCTAATACTTAAGTTCAAGGTAACATGGTTATTTATTTTATCACACAATATTGTTTCTCTATGAATGTATTTTATATATATCTAACTCCAATAATCAATAAAATTACGTCGTTTAACTCTTTTCAAATTATATTTCTCAAAATTGATTAGTAAGCAAAAGCAAAAAAAAAACGTTCAAAGTTTTAATATTATTGCTTCTGTTGTACTAGCTGATCTATTTTTTAATTGAATAAACTTTTCTTCGTCTTTTTCTCTTAACCAGCTCTATGATTTTCTTGAAATCGACGTCGTTGCATTTCAAACCATTGTAAATAAGCTGTATTCTGAATTAGAGGTATACCTGGAAACATGTTCGGATGTATAATATCTAAAGTAAATATTCATTTATTTAATGTCTTTTTTTATACTGGTATGCTAAACATGAGACAACTTACAGAATAAATAGGCATAGATAAGGGAAAATATGGTGATAATAACATTGAGTAATATCAAATAATACTCATCGTCAGTTAAATTAGGTAAAAGATAACGTAAAGGTAACGAAAACAAGTTAAATACATTAAGTATATATTCACTTATGGAATAAGCATATAAAGTTACAATTGGAATATATTTTTCTATAATAGTTAATATAAAATAAATTACAAAAATTAATAAAATAAATATTAGATATGTCATAAATGCAATAAAAAAATATTGTCGAATATGTTTCGACAATCGTATCATCATAAAGTTAAAATCACAAAAAAAAAACAAATAACCATACACAATTAGTTAAATAAACAAAACCTAGATCGAAATAAAGAAAAAACTAACAAAAAGAAATAGTCAAGGCAACCAATTTATTAAAGTAGATCAATCAATATAGCTAAATTTTCATATACTATCCTGAATAAAAATAACTGTACCTTATGCAGTATTCATATTTTTAATTACATTGAGTAGATGTTTTGAGGTAGATGCGTATGATGATAAATTGTAATCGCAAGCAACAACTCACTCTTCATCTATTGATATGTACTGAAATTACGATTCATATATTTTCTCAATTATGTGAAATTTTGGCAGTTGAATTTTTGTCAGTTAGTGCGATTTCCGTCGATATCTCAACAACAGAAAAAAAACTTATCGAAGTTCCAGTTTACTAATAAGAAATAGTGAAATGAAGAGAATATATCAGTGAAGCTCTATGATTTTAACAATTTGTCTAATTTTCCGCCGAAATTTTGACTATCCTTTTATTATCAAAAGTTCAACGGAAATTGAACAAAGTGTCACAATTAAGGTAGTGAAATTCCGGTCGAAATTCTTTCTTATGTAAGTAAATATATTCAGCGGAAATATACATTGAGAAAGAAAATTTTTTCTTTGTCTGCCATTTTGTTATTCCACGAGCTACTACTGCGTTCTTTTCCTAGTGTTAACAGCAGTCCCACATGCGTACTTTATCATCAGCAAAGTCCTTGACACATAATCAAAATCTTTGCACTTAATACGTCCTGAGATACTGAACAATTGTTATAGCACTAATTTGACTTCATTCAATGCTGCTTCTATAAAACTTATAGAATATACTCGTTGCTTCATAGAAATTTTCTAATATAAACAATCAAAATCATCATGAAAAATACTTATCTTATTAAAAATTAGTATTCGTTCTTCAATACACATGCTTTATGAGAAGCTTATATATCAGTTGTGTTGATGTGAATTCTAACAAAATTCAACATAGAAATAGCGACAATATTGATCTTTCAAATGACGAATCGAATGAAAATGTTTATGACAAGTATTGACATAAAGTGATCATACAAGAATAGTGATGTCTAAGTCATAACTCTAGTATATCAAAATCAATAGTTACGTTGATGCGAGACTGTAGAAGACTTAAGTCTCAGAAAGGTTGATCTAGTTTTAAAAACTTTTACTTCTTTGCAACACTATAAAGAAAAAATTCGAGAAGAAAACAGTGAAGACTTTAGGCATGAAGTACACTGTGTGATCCTCGAAGAAAACTAAAGATTTTGAATTATTTATATATATCAACATACAGATGAACAGTTTCTCTCTCTTTCTACTCTACTGAAAAGTCCCTTAGGATAAATTATAATATACCTTGTATGCAATATTATTCTTGTTATTACGTACTATTTATTCTGAGTATGACATATATGTGGCGCAGTTCTTCTCGTCATTGATGATTGGACTAATACTACATCTCTCTACACCATCCAAACCAATATAAACCATGCAACTTATTTGTTTGATTATTTGTTAATATCATGGTCGTTTCTTGCCTCACATTTATACTACAAATATATCTTTGATCATTTATTCTGAAAGCTTTAATCGTATAGAATAAGAATTCATTGACAAGAGATACAAATATTCATGTAGTTTTCTTTGCTGAATTTTGTTATTTTTAAGTGACACTAAATTCTGACAATTAGATTTTTTTTCGAATTTTAGTCACACATTTTGGATAAACTCGTTCACAAAGATTCCTCTATCTAATAGATATTTCTCAACAAACTTTTTAAAAATGTCAAATAATCAAAGATATATTTATAGGATAAATATAGAACCAAAAGACAAGGATTAAAAAAAATGCGTATATCATTCATAATGACCTTGAAAATATGAAAATAGATCTTATTTTTAATAATACATTTGGATGACAGTTTTAATTACATAAACGATCCGACAGACTTATATCTTACACACGGATACACGCACAAAAATATCCGATTCTCTATCTCACAACATTATAAATAGACTTTCATATGAAAGATACATTGGAATATGCCTCAATGTTCCAGAATAACATGAAATCCTTGAAAATCTAGCATTTTCTAAGATTATAGTCCTCTTTTCTCGATTGGACTAAGAATGCACCAATTCCTTATTTTACATGCAAACAATTGCGTATGTTCGTTATATAATACTACTGATTCCGACTAATTCTTCACAAGAAACATAGTCTTCTTTGTCGTTCTCTCTAATGTTATTATCGTATTTCATCCAATACAATAATAGAATTAGAGAGAGCGTTCAAAGCGGACAAAATTCCATTCGAAGAATTAATAGTTTGGATAACCACAAATACGCAAACTTTTATGTAAAAAAAAAAATAATCAAGAATTTATGCATCTCTTGATCGAGTCAAAAACAAGTGTAACATTATCAAATCTATATAAATTAAACTTTAATAGACAACATCAAAAGCTTAGAACGAATACCATTCATTTTTCTATATAAATATATATTTAGTCTCATCGTTAAAAATACAAAACTATTTACATGTTAAAAAATAAAACGAAAAAATGAAGAATATAATCTTCAATAATGTCTGTCAGTTCATAGATTGAACTTGCTTAGTATCGATGTTTATAATCATAAATCAACGACAGACTAGAAAAAGAAAGTAACAAAGAAAAGAGTTTGCTATGATAGACATAAAATAAAAATTATTGTTGTTATTTATTTTAATATATATTAATTTGTTCAAGTGCTTTAACAGCTTCCACAGGTAAATCTTGACCAAGTTCTTTATAAAGTGATTGTAGCACTTGTAATTCTTTCATTAATGAATCAACACGTTCATTTAATGTACGATTTTCTTCAGCCAATTTATTCATACGAGTTTCTGTTTCTTTTTGTTTTTGTTTTGCTTTCAATCGACTATTTTTTACTGATTCATTATTTTTTAAACGTTGATGATGATATTCATCCGAATATTTAACAACTTTTTTATTACCAAATCTTGCTAATTTACATTTGGACATATCATCTTTTTTTATTTCACTTGAACTCATATTATTGGACGATGGAATATATACGAAGAAGAATATTTATTTCATGTCAAAAAAAAGAAGAAAACAACAAGAAAAATAAAATTCTATTGAATGAGTAATTTATCCAATCAACATGTGTTCTATTGCTCGAATCTGACATCTACAGATGACTCGCACAATCAATGAAAAACACTTTTTTTTGACATTTTAATTGAACTTCTAAGAACTTTAATTAAATTTTACGTTTTTTAATACTGTAGTAGTCGTTGGTTTGAGAAAAAACGATTGTCGCTTTAATAGACTTTCCATACTAGTTTCATAATTTCGTTCAAGTATATTTGATATTAGCTATTGCTTTACTGAATGGTATGATAACATTAAAGATTGTGTTCTCTAGTATAAAAGAAAGTGTTTCATCTTTTGATATTATACAGTGTCAAAAGATAAGACACTTTTGTAATCGTAGGACATAGTACCTTCAATGTTCCCACATATTAACTGTAAAGCATCTGTTAAACAAATATCCATTTCAACAATAATAAAAAAAACAACAACGTCATTTTGTATACGATGAGTATGATTCATTTTCTTGAATAAACGAACATGAAATGATTACTGATTCACTGAATATGCATATGAATGTGATGCATTCGTTTTTTCCACTAGTTATATTTGTCTTTAACATATATGAATAATCATTTTCACTTGAACTTTTAATTGAAAAAACAAAACAAACAATTTAATATTATGCATAAATATTAAAGTAGTTTTATTTTATTCGTACACTTTATTAGTTATGTTTAAAATAAACGTATGAAAAGAACAATCAAGCGATAAAATACAATTTAATTTCAAATTAACTTCTCAGCTCACTTTCTCTCTTTAACAATAAAAACTTTTTTTAGCAACATGCTGGTAGCACGTTAAATTATACATATATATAAATGTATATATTTGTAATTCATGATTATTTTTTTTAAATCAAGAAAACTATTTCTAAGCCATATTGCATTCACTTTTTTTAAAAAAAAAAAGCTAGAAAAAGACAATTGAACACCATTGATTAATCCAATAATTTAGTATTAGTCATCGTTCAAGGTGCAATAATTCGTTCCAATGGTCGACCACTTTCCATTGTTGAGTCTTGTTTAAGTCCTTTGTAGAGTGATCGTAATACTTGTAATTCTTGCATTAATAAATCTACACGATCATTTAACAAACGATTTTCATCTGTTAATTTATTCATTTGTACTTCAGTTGTTTTTTGTTTTTCTTTGGCTTTCATTCGACTTTTCTTCACAGCTTCATTATTTTTTACACGTCGACTATGATATTCATCTGAGTATTTAATCACTTGTTTGTTTCCAAAACGTGCTAATTTGCCAGCAGGACCACCACTTTTTCTTGTTTTACGTTGAGTAGTATCATCATGTTCGCTGCAATCAGATTGTTGCGAACTAACTGAAGAAATTGTTGTTTCGTCATGTGTTGAATCAAATTGTAATGATGAAGATAATTCATGTTCAGAATAATGTTCGGGTTGTTCCATAGGAACATCAGTAAGTGTTTGAATCGTCATTGTAGGGT